GCGACTGAGAGAAGAAATAACGTATGCCGAGAGTTAATACGCACGGATGTACCAGAAAGGAGCGCCACTATCCCTTTAGGAGATCCAGAGCGTCGCTGTTTAAACAAGGCCTTTTGAACCACTCAACCGCCGCTTTTATCAATTGAAGAACGCAGCGATGGTAACCAAGTTTAGTTGCTGAGGATTATCAAATTAGAGACGATTTTCTCAATACCCGAGCGTAGGGCTTTTCATTTTCTGTCGGTATGGATCGCTTGTTATCTGATTATGACGCAGTTCTCCGCGACATGCAGCGGGATGTTTTGTTGGCCTATTGTTATTAAATGACGTACGTATTGGCAAAAAAATCATGCGATGTGCAAAATCAACGTCAATCCTGAATAACAAGTGGAAGGCGCCGTCCATGGTGATGAATATATTGTTGTTATTAAAGGAAGTTACAGTGATGCTCTTTCTGGACACCGGCAATGGCAGACGAAATTGTGCATCAATGTGTACGGTAAGAAAGTCTTGCAAAATACTTCAAGTACCATTGTGACATGAAATCAAATATAAAAAGAACTCGTCGGGATAAACAAAAATTCAGAATAACATGAGCTCCTTTGGAATCTTAATAGTCCTTGAGTTTTCATCAGTCTAACAGCCAATAAACCAGCCCACGCGTAACACCCCGGGAAGGCCAATAGGACGTAGCCTCTGAAGAATTTGCGGTAATATTGACTATCCTTTTTGAGCAATCACGCTGTCGCTAGAAATGGCAAAATATCCCGCTGTGCCTCGGCTGCTTCAGCTATCTGAATAAAATGTTTTTTCCTACAAGCGTGAAACTAGATGCACTTCGAATTCCTATCACCGAGAGGTAGGCGGCATATCTCGGGAGATATCGCGAGATTATATGAAAATGTACCACGTTCTGTGAACTGAGACAAATCTGCTATTTTTATCAGGAAGTAATGGAAAAGACTACAACAGCGCACAATCTATACACGCTAGGGAAAGCAGTATTTGCTGCTAGCCGCGGGCCGCTTTAGGCCCCATCTCAGCTTTGACTCTGCCTCACCAACACTGGTTAGTGAGATAGCAAAAGCTCTGCTATACATTACAACTTGACGTTTGGTTTTGAGGCTAATCTTGGAGTTCTGTACTTGTCGTTTCTACACGACGAGCAAGCAAAAACGGGCTTATTATGTATTTCGTTTGATCGATTTGCGGTCTGTTGGTAGAGTTAACAAACTGATGCATTAGTGTTTTAAGTCTGGGTACTTCCATTGCACAGACAGCTAATTATAAGATGTTTATCTTTGTGTGTCGTGGTCTATGGTGTGTGTTGGGTGGGGTGGGGGCGGTAATTACAACCCAACAGAACATCTGTGCTCATAGACATAGACTACACGTCCTAACAGAGTTTCCTAACAAAACGATGTGAACCACAAAATGAACTTAAAATGGTCGATGGATCAAAATACTTCTGTATGCATGGAGAGGCTGTTAAGTGCACAATTTCATTGTACCGGGTAGACATTGACTGATCGGTGATAGGAAAATGATAGCAAACCGGCAAAATACCCTGACCTCAATATCGAACAAGCACAAATGACCTAACTAGAACCTTGGTCACGCCAGCCGGGCGGGCTGGGCGCAGTGGTGGTCACGAGAACGCCGACATCGTACCGACCAGCCGGAATTACCCGTGCAGGATTGACAGGCGGATTATTCCGATCCGAGAGGTTGGCTGGAGGGTGGCGGCGGGGTCTACTCGGGTAGTTTTTTTCCAATCTAACCTGGAACAGCCGACAGTCCAATAACTCCAATAACTCCGTGACATTTGTGTCTGTCAATTTGTGAGCTGATGTAATGGGTCGGGTGATCATGTAAGGCAGTGAGGCTATGAAACTTCCATTTTACAGACAACGCTTGTCATTCATGTTGTTTTACCCGTTAGAAAAATGACCTTCCAGAGTTTACTTAAATGATTGAATTGGCTCCAATGGTCTCTGTGATAGATGGGTTAATCCATACAATTAGAAAGACGCGCCTGCGGTATTTATCAGACTAAAAATAATCACACAAAAAGTTGATAAAATTGATCCTAGCTATATGACTGTCGTCTATCTTTCCTAAAAATAGTATTCTGGTTGATACGTAAACAAGGTGACACATTGTCAATGGATATTCATGGCCAGTCTGATATTCATAAGGTTCTCGCGGACGAGCTTGTACGGAGACAGTGATTTATCGGCCCCTGGAGCGGCCAGCCCCAACTCGGTAGGCCGAGCAGTAATGACTAATAACGCGCGTCATCAGCCCAACGATTACTCCCCTCCCTTGCACGGCAGCAGCAGCGGCCGCCGCACTTCTCCAGTCCGTACTCAGCCGAGCGCCCGCCAGTAACTCAGCATCATCCGTGCTTCCTTCGGCATTCCCGGATTTTCTTCCTGCCTTGCTTCATCCGCGGGCCGTTAAATAATTGAAAGCGCTGATCCGGACTGGCAGGGCTGTTTGTGGGACCAGGTGAGTGCGGGGATTAGCTCTGCGGGACAGGCTGGTGACACGGCAGTAATGCGGGGGGACTTAGTCCTCACCAGGACCTGCAGAGCTGGAAAATCTCAGCCAGCAGCGGAAAATAGATTTTGGCTCTGGCTTTTGGCTTACCATCGATTTTAAAGGCCTTGGGTTTGTACATCCGCCCAGTTTGTGATCCTGCTTGTCTTTGCGCGGAAGGCGTGAGGTAGCTAAAGGTGCGATGTAATTTCAAAAACACATCAATCTGCTGCAAAATTTGCATCTAAATTGACATCTCCTTGTTGCTCGTGTCAAGTCTCTCGGTAGTAGCCACCATTACCCTGTCCCATCATCAACAACAGCAGATACAGGCGGCTCCTAGGGAAAACTAATTGGTCAAAGATTCATCAAAATGCTGACTTGATGAATTAGCATGTTGTGGTGTGACACGCCGATGACTTTGCTCTGCACATCCATATCTGATAACAACCTAGCGGTCTGAAGTGATGTATAACTTATCAGCGCTTCTGGTTTTAATCTCGTCCTCCCAACTGCTAGAATTTTCCACGGAAAATGAGCACGTCTGATAGATCGTTTTTATTTAATTGTATATAGCAAAGTACACTGAAGGCTACTCGAGTTGTAGTAGCAGTTGTAGCGTGGCATAATTTTCAGTCATCAGGCTATTAGAGCGAGCTTGGCTGCACAGTTGCGTGTACTGAATGTGAGAATGGTGGTTACTAGCTAGACATTCTGCCTTTTTTTAGCGCATTCGCTGAAAATATAGTGCCGTTGGATGATTCCAGTATTCACTCGAGTTTTGTTTATGTCCCGCACATATCAGTTGATGTTGAGAATGTTCCAAGTGCAGGCCTGTGATAGTCTGCTCAGAGAACCTTGTAATTCCTAAATGAGGTTCTGTATGGTACGATAACTGCCAAAATCACAGTGATACGTAATCTAGCTCCGGTTACATTTTGTACATTTTTCTGAAGAAAGGGTTATAAAATATATGATAATCTGAATTGTAGGTTGCAAAAGCAGTGCTGCCATCAGCCAGAAAAGGATGATAACGTCCTGTTCAGAATGATAATTTCCGTGACTAACATACAGAAATGGCGCACCACGCCATCTCCCTGTATCCTTGTTGAGCACCATTTCACGACCCACTCACATGCCCTCCATGTGTCTCTCTGTCGGTACATGTATACGTGGGAAAACATTACGACTGTAACATGCCGTACTTCACCTCTTTAGCGCTGCCCCAAAACCTCTCGCAGAGAGCGTAATGAAAGCGTTTTAATTCATTTACAGCATTAGGGGTTCGTTGGGCTGCCGTGATAGACAAGCGTTGCGCCGTGTTTGGCACTGCGAGCATCCTTGGCGAATCACGGTTCCACTCTCCTCCCCGCGTCTGAGGTTTCATGCAGTTTCTCTCCTCTAGATCAAGGCCGTCACTTTTTCATTATCGTCAGTTCACCTTACTTCAATTAGTACTTGATTCTCATTACAAGAATATAAAAAATCCCATGCTCTCTGGTTAAGATATTCCTAAGACGTGTATGTATATGTTATAGAGGGAACAGTTTAAAAGGGAACCGACGGGAGATCTACTACATGTACGCTGAAATAACCGGCAGGTAGCGTCGGTTTTGGGTCGGTTTTGGGAACTACTTAATGGAATGTGCAGACACCATCTAACAATGACGTTAATACAAAGAGAGGGTTTGCATATAAAGTTCTGTAATTACAGGACAGGGAGTACATAAAACTGTTACGACCGAAGAGCGCTGTCGAGGACGCATCAAATGCGCACGTCAGATGGTGCGATGAGCATCAGGAAACACCGCCTTCAACACTCACATGCACTATTTCAGCTACATGAATAAGCACATGCGTCAGCTCAGTAAAAGACGACTTCTTTATACTATATTTACAAGGACATCAAAGAAAGTTTTGGGGACTTTAAATTAAAGCAAAGTACACGCGCTGTTTCTTCTAGCGAGTGACTCATGACTCATAACTTTGATATTTTGTTAGGGAGGAAACGTGATCAGGCATTTCTGTACATGTTACTCCCGTTATTAACGTTGTCATGAGAACATCTGTAATACTGATTGATATATAACACTGGTAGTAAATCATTCTATAAACGTACTAAAACATTCATGTCTGCAAATTATTTCTTTTTTTTTGGTTCATCGATTTTGCCCTTCAATTTCCCCGCCATGGTTGCTATGAATACATCCATTCCATCGCCTCGGCTAAAGTGAATTATAATGTTCAAATGGCGAAGAAATGTATGTATAAATAATATTTTGCCCTGGACAACTTTGACATTTGTTATACTGTTTTGTTTGATTTTATGAATGCCTGGGCTAAGGGAAGCTAATTAAATTATAATGTTCAAATGACGAAGAAATTTATGTCTATAACTGAAATTCACCAAATTACCAGGGACAGTTGCTCTTTGATATTAAAATGTGTTTTTTTTTCAGGACGCAGAAGTATCACCGTGATGGTCCGCCTGCACGGCCGAGCCCCGACCAAGCGGGACCGCGAGGCGGAGAAGCCCCTCCTGCCGCTGGCTATCGGGGAGCTGAAGGACGAGCCTACGGGCAGGGTGACGCTCCAGCCCGACCACGACTTCGCCCACTCTGATACCCGTGAGAAGGCCCGGAAGATCCCGGGTATCAAAGTGCTGGACAGCGGCAAGGATAACTCCTGCAGGTTAAAGGTCAGCAACATGACTATGAACTTCACTTGGACAACTGCACCAAATTACATGGCACCAAATTATCATAGTGTAGATGTTGAGTCAGGTAAAGTAGATAGTCATAGGGGCTTTGTTGAAACTATTGGAGCTAAAGAAATGCTATTTCAGGATATTTTGTTACTGCATAGAAATTCTCCCTAACCTTCAGTGGCATTTGACATTACCGTAGACAAATGACATTGTATTATGATCTTCAGTAATATATTACAACTCAAAGCCTTCTTTATTACTGTCTCGGTAATGACCTTAAAAGCTAAGTACAAGTCGACGATAATACATGATTCATATATGGGAGAACGTCGTGATTTCCCACAACGCTAAGCCCTGCTGACGTCACGAGGACGAACGACGTCGTTCATTCCTGAGTAATGTCATTCTCGTTCCCAGTGGTGCAGGGTGGAATATCGACCTTCCCTTTGCAAATCACATCATTCCGTTTGTCCTCTGTACAAGTTTGTCGCAGAGGTGATTTTTTGCAGACATTCAGTCTTTCAGTCAGCATAATTCAGCCCCATGCGTCAGATTAAACCGCACAAGCTCAAGGTCACATATCTGCTGGAGATGCTTTGGTTTTTTGACAAAATTCCTTACAGATGTGAGGTGCGTTCATGCAGTGATAACCCGAATTGACTAAAATGAATAGGAATGCCACCGTGACAAATTAGGTCCTCAGTGAGTTAGATCTGTATCAAAAGCCATGAAAATTTGACCGTATTACTGTGATACATGCAGAATCTTATGTGGCTTTGTTGTAAGTTTGACAAATCGTGAGAGGATTTTGGATGTTCAATGAACTTATTCAATTTAAGAATTAAGGTATTTTCCACGGGTGTCGTTGTCAGGTAGCATGGGATCTGACTGTGAAATATGTGAGAGTTAATGGCAAACAGGTAAGTGTTATTGAGGTCCGTACTTCATCTGTGAAGAGCCGCGGGTTGGATTACTGGAATGTGACACAGGGGACATGTGACGCGACCACTTCCAGGAAACTAGACAGACCGACTGTTATAGAGAGATAAATAGGCAAGCCTAATATCAACGATAGTCATAACAAAAGGCCATTTGAAGTAGTTTCTTTCAGGTGGAAAATAAGTAGATTATGACCATGGCACATTTTTTTGTATGAGAATGTATCTTATCATGCGAATACTGAGCAAATGGCCATGACCAATGGCCGGAAAATCGCAAATCGTTTGGTGAGCCAAATTTTCGCCTTTCTGTCTACATCCTGCCCCACATTCTTTGTAGTTCTTATCCGGTCGGAAACATCCAGGCCGACTCTGATTATGCTAAATGATTAGGCCAAGGCAATCTCTGACATTGGTGACAAATGTTGGAAGTCAAACAACCGATTTGACCTAGTTGAGAATGGACGTTAATTACGAGGTCGGCCCCGGTCTCATATATCTTTTCCAGGGCTACATTCCATCAGTAGTTCCGGTCCGCCTCTACTGACGCCCAGTCCGCTAGACCGAGTCAAATTAATCCAACCCACCATATAATCTGCCGGAAACTCAAGCAAAGAAAATCCGCGAGGTGTTCACGCAATAAAGCCTCTGGACCGGCGAGCTTTTGTTTTAATCTGGGATTTTACGACCGGTTACGACTGGAATGTGTTTTGCGCCTGCCCTTTTGACCACAGGCCTGCTGACAGGTTTACGACACGTCCCGACACATGATCAATGGTGGTTTATCCAAATACCCCTGTTTATATGCAAATTCTCGTCCATCTGCTTCCAACCCATGTTTTTGGGCGGATTTTTTTGCGACGATCGATATTTCATATAATGGTGGAAAGGCTCGGTCTATGCGGGGTGCTGACACGCCTTATCAAGAGATTGAAGAAATAACATAAACCACAAATTTCCTTTCTTTGTCTGTCTACTTTTGATACGACACCTTCTTCAATTTAAACTGCTGGACACTTTTTGTTTTTACATGTCTAGTACAATGGTAAGACGAATTGTAAATAATGGTACGTACATGGCCTAAACAGCTTTCTGAAAATTAGATACTGCTTTACAAGAAGTTTGTGTTTGAATATTTTGTTCAATATGACTTTATGATATTCAGATTATGTACAGTACAGTCCAAACAAAGCTTCCTATGTAGTCTCATAGTAGTCACATAGGGAAACGTCACTCTCTCCGTCCAAATATTAACAACCGAGCTTTGTTACTCGGGTGGAATATTAGATTAGACTGTTATGATGGGCACTAAATTAGCCCTTATATGGTTAAGTCATGTTGAGATGAATACTAGTATGTCCACGCGTTTAGATTTTGCGTCCGATTTTCCTCCCCGCGGATATTTTGGTATCGCCCCCTTACCCGCTACATGTATATAAATGCTACCGCCTATCGCCAATCTCAGAATCGACACTAATATAACCCACCAGAAATTCAGGTTTCATCAAACGTGATTTGTCACATGGCTGACAGTCAGAAAAGTACGGTCATCTCCATCAAACGCGTCGGCTGTCATCCGCGGGGAGCGTCCGTAATAACAAACTCTACCTCATGTCAGTCTGACAAAATATATTCGTTTAGAATATCTCGTGCCGTTTTTTCGGACGGAATAAACATCAGCAATGAGTGTTGTTTATCATCATATTCTTCCATGGACATGGTGTGGTTAAAATGAAATTAATCGTGCACATTAATTAGAACCTAATCAACATTGCACTTCAGTGTATACATAATGACGAGGGACAGACTACGTTGGGTGGTGGAAATTTGCGAAGCTGCTTATGTATTTGTCGTCGCTTTCAAATATTTTCCACAATTTTGTTCAGCTCCTTCCAAAACATACCCCGTGATCTGTCCTTTTTTAAACTAGTTAGTATAGGACATGATTGTGGAAGACAGGGACAAGCGGAGGAGAATTAACCAGAGGATCTGAACTGACAAGAATATCTGGTCCAAGTCTGGTATCACGGGGAATCAATCGCGCTTGTTCAGACCAGTTTCTTCGGATCTGTTTCTTCCATGTTGAGTCTCAAAGGAAGATGAAATATTCACCAGTTTTAGTGGGCCTAAAGTCTCACACAGTCAGCAGCTGTAGATGGGAAGAACCTGTGATCGTCTGCGTATGACGTCATAAGGGCGTCTCACAGATGCCGAAACCGGCTGGCGCCACTCTGGCGCGGAGTGATTTCCTTCAGCTCCTTTATCTTGTTCCTCGCAAAAATACGGCGGGGAAATAGTCTTAACTTACGAGGAGATTGACTACCTTTGAAACATGTGAAGGTCCTGGGAGTATCATTGACATTTCTACAGAAAATCCAAAGGGTGAACCGGTTGGATGTTACAACCAGCGATGTTCACACCTGTGATCGGAAGTGCATCGGTGAACCCCGCCATTAGGCGAAGTGCTTGGAGAAAAGCTTGTGGACTGCGCGGCAGAAATTACAGTGGTTCAGATCCGATCCCCTGACGAACGTAACGCTGAAGGTGACCTCTTCACCCGCCGGATTTACAGGCACATTAGCTTATCAGCTAATTCTGGCGAGCTTTCACAAACACGGAAGATCCGAATCACCTGACACAAAATGAAAGTCCTAGGATTACAAAGACGTACTATCTGTGAGTTTTATACACGAAATCTTAAAAAACGCTGACGAACAACCATGAATGACATGGTGATGATAGAACCAGAACTTCACACAATTTCATTATGTTTCGTATGTTCAGCTCTACATATGCTCTATATGCTATCAACGCGGAGAAACTGAACCTCCATGTTTCATATTTGGATAGTATTGACACGTTATCCTTTCTAAAAATAAATTGTTTTCGTCATTAACATTAAAAAAAACTTCCCCACGTGCTTATACTCTGATCGTCTTCCGCTCAACTAATAACGGTATTAACCATCGTGCCCAACTAATCTGTGCCAATCACCCCCTTGGAAATGTTATTACATGGGGTTACATGAAGTGTTGCAGCGTTCAATTAGATAACAGTGTAATAACTCTAGCTTAAAACTACAGCCCCTGCTTTACTGACTATCACAGACAATTAATGGGATTGGGTCATGTCGTCCGGTCAATGATGTGTGACAGAGGCTCCTATCAAAAGAATATCATAAAGGCTTCCTTCTTGATAGCAAATGGCGAGGCTATTTCATGAGTGCCTCAAGAAATAAAACACTCCCTGCAGTTGATAGCACCCTGGAAGATACTGTGGAGAGTGATAAATTTGAGTAGTGGAGAGGCTGCAAATGTATTGTTGTGTTTGACAAAAATATAAAAAAAAGTTTAAGCCGCAATTCAATCTTTTCTTGTAATTGGCGTACTAACTAATAAATGATACCAACTTGTGTGTATCAAAGATGTAATACTGTAATCGTGGTGTGCAATCTACGTTTTCTAATCTTTGTGATACCATACGCAGCAGGAAAGTAACCTTCTGATAATGTCACACATTTCAATTACCTTGTGCAAGAAGCAACTCTACGTCAGCAGGATAGCTGAACTGTGTTAATTCCCACTCTATATGTGGCCATGGATTGTGACGACACCAACATCTCGATTACTGCCGACAGGATTAAAACAACACACAGTTTCCCCACCTCTGGGACTCAGGCTTTATTGTATGTATGATTACAACGCGTACGGTTATTGCAACATAATATGATTTTAATCCGTACGGAATCATAAATTGACTCTGATGTGTCTCGATTGTGTAATGATGTCATATATTCCATGATGTGCTGTAGGTAAAGTTACAGTGTATGAGATTACCGGGGACATTTTGGCCATAAAACCCGAATCTAAATCTAGTTATATCACTGTAGCCGCCCGCCGCGGGTTTCCGTGCCATTTTACCTTTAATAACGTTGATATTTGATATTTCGGTTAGCTATCCCGTTAATGTCAGAGCTGATAGCGCCCCTCCTCCAATGGCATTTGCTCTGGGCTAATAGCGGCCGATGTTCCCTGCTATACCGTGCACCTCATTTGACATAGCGAGGCATAAAGGGCTCTAATCGTGATGGGGCTTTAATGACAGGGCGCTCTCCAGAGGGTAGGTGCCAGGCGTGTGACTTTGTTGCAGATCACGGCCCTGGTGGAGCCAGACATGCGAACGTGCCAGAATAGTCGTAAGGCACACAGTAACAAATGATTTTCTAATTTCTTCTAAATGCATCGCTCATATTGTATGCGAAGTGATGGGTTGGTGTATCACCACCTCCTTGCTTTCCTAAAACTTTGGCAAACAGTCTGACTGAGTCTCGTGCTTATAGCGTGTAACATTTAATTGACACAGGAATTCCGGAAAGCTTCGGCTTGTTCATCATACGCACAGGGGGATTAACCAGGGCTTAAAGCCGTGCACTACTCGTGACCCTTTTGCGTCAATGGGTTTTAACGCAGAAGTCCAACTCACTATCCATCAAGGACGTTTTCTTGTCCTTAGATGTTTCTCGTAGGAAGTGTAAATTAGGGCTGTTATATATGATCCTGACTGTTGTTTGTGTCGTACGTAATATGCGTCACATTAAGTTAGGAGAGAACATTTGTGACGGTGGATAGACTCATAAAACAATAATTAGACTAACAGAGAGTAGAATCTGAAATAAATGTGTCAGATGTAGCTACAACATAGGTCTCTGGTGTAGTATTTTAAACCACTGAGTGCTTTTAGAGACGAATTTCTCAATTAAAACATAAACAATGGTAGCAATGAGCAGAAAAAAATGCGTTAACAACAACTTCAGCACCACGGAGAGCAACTGAGCAGCCTTGTGCGCAGTACTGACTGTGGCGGTACTTCAGCACTGATAATTTAGCACCAAGGACAGATACAAACAACGCTATTTGTATGGCAACAAAGAAGCACGCACTGTTACTGTTTTCCATGTTTGTTTTCTACTCAGGCCACCATCCTGTTCCTCGTCGCTCTAGCCTTTGCTGCCACAGCCACGTGTCTGGTTGTCTGGAGGGTGTACTACAACGGGGACCAGTGTCCGCCCGGGCAGCTGAGAAAGGTGAGCACATTAGTACTTAGCTCTCGGGATTTTAAAACAGAACAGCAATACAAAGACGATGTGATGAGAAGTGTAGATATTGGGTATACACTTTCTGTAGTCACCAAAATCAATAACCTTGTCTCCGTGTAGAAATAACTCATAGAAGTTATGGTTGGTCTTCTCCTTTTATCTCTCAGTGAGTTCTGTTTGAATACCAATACCTTTTCGAAAGTGTTACTTGAAGTACGCGAGGTATTCGCATCAAAGAAAAACGCACGAAATCTTAAAAATCTGCACAAGGCAACTTTATTTTACAGCGTCTGATGTATCTCATTTGCACTGCGAGAGAACAGATTACTAGTACATCACCACGCGCCATTTCTTAGAATTGGATTCCCACCCAGATAAGCGTGCTTCAATCGGTGCGCGGCTAAAGCCTGGATCAATAAGCGCTGTATCTACTTTAATGTCTAGTGCTTCTCGAGAGGTACATCGTTATGTTGGCAGGAAGACTTTACTTGTTTATAAGTCTGACCACGGCACAGATAGCGGCCTCTGCCGGCTCCTCCGCCCGCGCATGCTGCTCAACAGATCGCACAGCCTGATAGGCGGTGAGCTTTGCCGCAACACGCCGATAAGCAGGGAGTGATGGAAGGCAGAGTGTTCGCCAGATGACGCTAGATATGAATCATGCACGCCCGGTAGGAAGTTCACTATCCGGAAGAGTAGAGGGACGTCTTGCCATTTTGCGTTTGCTTATTGCCTGACCCCGAAATGTTTTAAACCTTTGAGGAATGGTACCATGAAAAACAAAGTGATGGGGGAAGGAAATGATGTACTTCGTGTAATAATGCTGTCTTGCCGCGGGCTTAAGTAGAATGTCGGCTTTTATGCAACATGAAAATCAAGTTTATGAGAGCTAGACATTGCCTCTGGGGTTAATCTTCTACTCTTGCCCGGCATTTCAGCATATTTACTACTACTACTCCAGGGAGAACAGAGAATAACGCCAGGGCAGTAAAAGCAGCCCCTGTCATACATGCGTTCAAAGATGGCTTTGTTGTGACTTATATCCTGGGAGTTTTAGGGAACAGTCTTGATGCTGTTTTGTTACCAGTCAAAAAACTTTGAAGCGTAGCGCGAATGGTGGATGATCATTTCCGAGGCAAAATCAAGTTTATGTCCCGTGGTATGGTATGGAAAATGATAAGCTTACACACAAAATATACTGAATTGAGAAATATGTCTCATAGCTTTCTATATCTCCTCGCCTTATTGCTCAGTAAATCTCAGCAGAATAAGAGATATACATGTCTCGGGGATGATTTATCTACTTTCCTAACAGGGACATAGGGATTACTTAGATATTCTCTTCACGTACGATGTCTGAAATACTAAGTAATGGGACAAATACAGACAACTACAAGGTAGCTACAGAATATGAGAGTGTAAATCTTAGCCAATCTGCTTGTCAGAGACGACTTGGCCGAGGGTTGGACATGTTTTGAGATAGCTTGCAAGCTGGAGAAGAATATATAATTTGACACCGTTCCTGAACTCTTTATCGCCATCTTACTTCAGTTTATTACAGTTGTTTCAGTGTTTACAGTAGTTTTATAACATTGTCGACGATCTGCGTTATTCGGGTCGGTGTAAAATTTTACGACATGTATCTCGATGACTATTCTTTATGAAAATCTCGATAACCAATACTTTGATCGACAGCAGCTGCTTGAGAGCTTATTAGCTATTCTTTTTATACGTTAATAATTCCGCGGGATTTAAAAAGAAGTGAATACTTAAAATGCCCTTAAGGTGTCCCATAACCGCCTCTTGTCTTTTTTATTACCTGTGCTCGTTAAATGAGTGGGTATAAATCTGTATATAATACTTTGGGAACTCCCTTGCCGATTTTACGCAATCCGCCAGAAGTGTCGACACAAATGGCCTGGGAACATTAGTACGATATATCGATTTTTTTCTATTGCCCCGTCACGTTTTTGGAAAAGCGATTCACCTAATCCCTTTCAATAGAACGCCCGAGGAAGTAATGCGAGATGTGTGCAGAAGATCCTCCTGCCAAAATGTCAATGTCTAAAACCTAGCATCGAGCAAAGCGCAGATAACTTTTATAGCTTTCCTCTTACATGCTTCGAATGGAGTGGAAACAGAAGGTATTGCTTTGTAACGGATGTGCCATAAAAGATATCAGATAGGTTGAATTTCTGCCAAGATGGAATACAAGCCGCAGAATGGCGCTGGCAAATGTCTTTCCGGAGTCAGATCTGTATTCCATGTACCCTGTGCGTAGGCGGGCGACGAGCCCACACTTATTCTATCAGGTCTGTGTCGGAATTGATCTTCGTCAGCCAGGAAACAATAAAATGATATCTCCTTCTAGGAATACTATAGAAAAGAGAATCCGATGCACAGAAACATTACTTGGCACAGTTTTATACACCTTAAAAATAAGAGTTATCAAAATCACTCACTGAAGCTTATATCCGGGGTTATTGGTATGGCTGCTACAAAAGTTTTTTTGTGAAGAAAGATAAAATACTAGGATGTGAAGTTTGAATTACAGACATGTCCAGAGATCCTGATATTAGCCTTGTACGATGTGCCCAGGGTGTAGTTTCGCCCACATGTACTGAAGGAGCCATTTATTTGCCTCCCTATGACGCAAACGGAAAGAACGGCGTGCGTCTTACTTCGTGAGTTTTATTTCAAAGGTTGAAAAGTTTGAATGACAAAAGCCACCAGGGCGGTCAGCACCACTTTTAATGGCTCAAACTACGCCATCGTTTGCCAAAGAGATTTACAGACAGTAAGTAACTCGTTAGACAGACAGACAGTAAGTAACTCGTAACGCTATGGTCCGACATGGCCGCGTCAATGACTGGGAAAGGAAGCACGTTAAAACACTACCGGTACCATTCAGCCCCCAAACCACCAGCTCTTTGAATTCGACCATACGATATAACATTTTGGTATAAGTTAGTCTTCCAATAGCAGAAGATATGACCGTGAGACATAGTCATAATGACAATAGACTTTCTGGCTAGAAGTGAGACAGCACCACCCTGTGGCGGCGGTAATATTTTGATGTTTCGTACAGTAGATATACTTTTAAAGTGATGTTCTATCATTACCCTATTACGTACGTGAGAAAGATAGCAATTAGCAATATATTGCATATTTCTTCAGCTAATACCATAATCAGTTGATCTTTGAGAATACGATGCCAATATTTGGTAGTGAAGTCTAATTACCCAACGGCGAGGGTTTTAAGGAGCTAATAATGGGATTTATAGGATTATCCTCAAAATAGAAAGTCTATAAGGTAAGTATATATACAAGTAAACAACAACTATGACGTTAATGCCCAATTGAGGAGAACCTTTTAAATGTGATGTAGATTAGTCAAACTGAATGATTTCTTTTAACTTGCGATGCCGCCTCATTCATGATTCTACACACGCAGCAATATAGGGCTTGTCACTTGGCAGTAAGTGTTTGTTAGTATGCACGCCCAGGCCGGGTAAAACTCTGTCTACAGATGAGACACTGGAGTGCAAGTACTTCGTAAAACTGGTATCAACCGGTAATCAAGGGGCAGACGTGAAATCTCGCATACAAGATACAAGATGACTTTATTCGCAATTGGCAGTGTTAGTGACACTGAATTAAAAACGAATTTACATATACTAAAAAACCTCAGTTAGATACAGTTGCTGTAGCTAAAATATTGATGTTCTAAAATAGACATAGTTGAATGCTATAGGTGGCTATAGATATTTACAAGCAATACAAGGTAAGATTTCGTGTCAGACAAAGGTGTAAAAGACAGACTGGTACAGTATATTTACAGTGCTGATTTCATGCCAAGTCCGTGCTGGTTAAGCAAACTGATCATATGTGGAATACAAGAGTTCTGGTATCTGTTGGTTCTAGTCGTGGGAATGTCCAGTTTGTGACCGTTGCGGGTCACTCTGCCAGAGATCTGGGCCCTGTGTAGTGGCAGCCAGGCTCTAAAATCTGAGCATCTCAACAGAATGCGGTGTAACAGGCACGTCAAACTTACGTGGAGGATTGAAAAGGTATTAACAAGTCCTGGGGAGAGAGTTTACCATATTTGTACAGGAAGTGTGGGAGAGGAAAGGATGAGACTAGACACGCCGTGGGAGGATGACACATGCTGTTATAAAGGACGAGTACTGCCGCTTCCCGACCCACACACCAGTCATTTATGTAGTAATACCGCCTACGCTAGAGGGAAGACATGAAAAAATCATTCGGAATAAAGCTTAACTAGAGGGAAGGTTGACTAACGATTTTGCTTGGTCGATAACTTCCTTAAGCTTCAATGACACAATAAAATCTGACGTTGAGACGGCTGGTGTTGTACAGAACCGACAGTTGCTTTAGAACAACATCTTCGTGATTCCTGACCTGAACGTACCGCGCCCATGCCACGTTCATTGCCTGGCAAGTTCTACAGGTTGTTTATGCGTTAGGGCATACAGGCCCTGTCCATGGTGCTGATTTATGAGCTGTCTTTCTTCGGCAGTTGGCAGTGTCTTTCCCAGATGGACAAGCGTGTTGTGGCTCAACCAAGTGTCTCATTTGACAGGTACAATGTCTGTCTGCTGAAGATAAAGCCGTTAATGTCCGCCTTGGTGAGATCTCTCAGACGGGATTCCTGCGTTTCTATTGGACAAGACGGCTGACAAATGGTGCGATTATCCATTAGTTCTGTGGAACGGTGTCCACCGTGGCGCCTACCGTTCCCTGTGGAGCAACAAGTGCGAGTTTGGTCAACGTTACTTTTGCTGTGCTGCCTACAGATAAGACAGAAATTAGACGCCTCTGATCCCTCTTGTTATCATTACAAAGCTCGGCGCAGCACGACCATGAATAACGGAGTCTACAGAGGATACGGCCAGCAGATGTTGACAAGAAAGGAATACAATGTGGACAAATCCTCAGCTAAGGCATTTATTCCAGTCTATTTGTTA